GTGGTATCGATGGGATTTGCCACCAACAGCACAACTATCCCTGCCATTGCTGGCCCAGGCGCCCTCATCATCTCGGACGAGTACAATCATTCTTCTATCAGATTTGGTGCCAGACTCACGGGGGCAGCTATCAGACAGTACAAGCACAACGACATGGAGGACTTGGAACATTTGCTGAGAGAGTGCATCTCTCAAGGTATGCCTCGCACGCACAGACCATGGAAGAAGATCTTCTTGATGGTGGAAGGCTTGTATTCTATGGAAGGTACCCTTGTCAACCTGCCAAAAGTGCTGGAGCTCAAGGATCGTTACAAAGTAAGTTGTGCATCGGCTTCTCAGCATACTTGAAGCTTTAGCGACTGACCCCAAAGTGTTCCATTGACTGCGTGTATCGTGCAGTTCTACCTCTATATCGACGAAGCTCACTCTATCGGTGCTATCGGACCTCGCGGTCGAGGAGTCTGCGACTACTTTGGTGTTGATCCGGCGCGCGTTGATATTCTGATGGGCACATTCACTAAATCGTTCGGAGCTGCTGGAGGATACATCTGCGGGGACAAGAGCATCATCGATAGGGTCAGGTTGGCTAACCACGCCAACGTATACGGAGAGACTTTGAGTCCTCCTGTTCTGACCCAGATCATCTCCTCCATGGCTGGCATCATGGGCGTGGGCAATGCTGCGCACGAGATGGCGCTTTTGCCCTCCTTCGTGCACCTGCCTCCCCGATTGCTCGACGGCTCCGAGGGTCGCGAGCGATTGCGAAGACTGGCTTTCAATGCTCGATATCTATCCAGTGGGCTCAGGAAACTAGGTTTCATCGTCTACGGTCATCGGGACAGTCCTATCGTTCCGCTGCTCATCTTCAACCCAGCCAAGATGCAAATGTTCAGCCGAATGATGCTCGATCGATCTTCCTCCGTGCCACCTTCCAGACGTTTGGCAGCGTCGGAGAAGGATCTCTCTTCGCGGGAATTGGCAAGGCTCAATGATCCCGCTTCTGCCGAGGCGCTGCACGACGATGGCACGTTCAGCCGACCACCCATCGTCGTCGTCGTCGTGGCTTACCCAGCCACACCTCTAATCTCATCCAGAGTCAGGTTCTGCGTGTCCGCGAGCCACACGAAAAGCGACATCGACGATGTGCTACGTGCTTCCGACGAGATTGGAGAGACGCTGCACATGAAGATTGGAACTGGCGCACCTGGACGTAGGTGGACCATTGATGAAGTCACCAGTCGCAGTTTGGAATTGGTGCACTGGAACGGCACGGATGCCATTTAGAGCGAGCGGGAGTAAAGATCGCCCGAACCGCCAGCGAGCTTCGTGCACATAGCCCCCCTCTTTCGGTCGACTCCTCGCCCGTCGCGTCGTCTGATTTGAGCATCACATCATCCTCACATGTACCGTTCCCCTCTTCTCTTCTCTCTCCTTTCACCGTTCCGATCCCTTGCCTCGCAATGCAGCAGCATGTATCAAGCGGACCGAGGGAGCTTCAAGAATAATGTGTGATTGGACCAGGGCTATAGTACAACGCTGTGCTCGGAGGTGACTCAATTCTGCAGTCTCCTCCGAATAAAGTCACGAGTTGGCTCATCACTACCATGGCAGCGCGGTGAAGTAGCAGTGTGGTGTCAGCAAGCTTGCCAAAAACGAAAACAAGAGAATGCGAGCTATCTGATCCGCCTTGACGCAGACGAGTAGACCTTCACTTCTACAAAGTCTCGATGCTGTGCAACTCACCCTTCAGCAGCGACGAAGAATAATCTTTTTTGTTCATTTTGCCACAGCAGGACTCCGAGCTGGGAGGCGTAATCTCTGACCATTGCGAAATCGGCAAAGGACGAGAAATCTGCAAAGAGAGAGCCTGCGGAGGGGGCGCAATGATTGTGGTGAGTGCAAGTCGTTGGTGAGGGGGTCGTGCAAAGAGGTGCTTGACCGCTGAGCACTGGCTAGAGCCATGCGGATCATTAGTGGACATGTGGCCCACGTACCTGGTGAGGTGGTGACTCTATTCTTTTCCCGCTCCCACAGCCTGATCTGATCGGTGACCGTGACTGGCAAGACCGGATCCTGGATGAAAGAAAAATGAAAGGCATCTTTTTAGCAAGAAAGTCATTGACGCCCCTTCCGAGCCTACGATGCGAAGCGAAGGATCGGCAGGCTGCACACTCACATTCTTGAGCATCTGCCCATGCGCGTGGTGCGTGAGGTATGCTATGATCTATCAGGCGCGAAGAAGGCGAGTGGAAAACGGCTCAGCTTCGCGCCGCCCTGGCTATTCATTCGGCGCCGTCTCACCTGATCAGAGCTGATGCCGTTGCTCAGC